ACTCCAGTCTGGGCGACAGAGTGAGACTCCAACTCAAAAATAAATAAATAAATAAATAAGCTGTATTTTCCAATTTAAAAAAAGGATGATAAGATCCTCCAGAAAGCTCATGGGGCTGGAAGAATTCAAAGAGACGGAGCCCAGAGGAATGTCGAAGGGAGCCTGGCACACAATGGACTCCTCTGCCTTCGCGGGCCAGGGCCACCTGGATCAGCCTGTGGCTTCTGCGCCACCACCAAGAGGTTGATGTGATTCAACAAGGGCCGCGCTCACTCCTGGTCTTACGACACCTCCTCTCACTGGCCTTTCAGATTTACCCACCCTCCAGGACCCAAAGACACTGGCGTTTGCAAACCCTTGAAATAAAGGGTCCAGATCATGGAACAAGGTGTCTCCCTCCAGAGTAAGAACGCATCATTGCAAAGAAGTTCCCTATAAACTGCTCAGTGTTCTAAATGTCATTCATAATCCTAGTAGTAGTATTCATAATTATAAACAACAGCCACATCAACACACATCTTATACATATCGATGTTTTACTCCTGTGAACACGTTTAATCCTCATGGCAACCTGACCAGGTAGCTGCCAACAGTACCCTTCTCCGCACAGGAGAAGACAATGGCGCAGAGCAGGAAAAGGACAAGCAGAGGTGGCAGGCCTGAGACCAGGGCCCCTGCTCCTCACCAGCCAGCTCTCTAGTGACGGTCCTTTAGCAGTGGACAGGAAGGGCTCTGCAGCCAGGCAGTCTGAGTTCCAGACGCCCAGTTCAGCTGCTTCTCTGCTGTGGGAATTGGGTCAGGTTTTTGCCCTCTGTGGCTCCATTTCCTCACCTTTAAAACAGGGTTTGTTTCTCTATTTATTATAAGGAAAGAGGCTTCTTTGGTAACTCTACAACAAATCACAGGTACGCTGGGTGTGGTGGCTTATGCCAATAATCCCAGCACTTTGGAGGTGGAGGTGAGAGGATTGCCTGAACCCAGGGGTTCAAGATCAGCCTGGGCAACTTGGCGAGGCCTCGTCTCTACAATAAATTAGCCAGGCAAGGTGATGCACGCCTGTGGTTCCAGCTACTTGGAAGGCTAAGGCAGAAGGATCACCTGAGCCCAGCAGGTCGAGGCTACAGTGACCGTGAGCATGCCACTACATTCCAGCCTGGGCCACAGAGTGGGACTCTGACTCAAAAAAAAAAAAAAAAAAAAAAAATTCCAGGTAATCTCAGCACATCTAAAAACCAGGTTTATAAAAACACCTGTCTGCCAGGGTTGTGATTAGAATGAATTAATATGTTGAGTGCTTACGGTAAGGCCTGATATGCCATGAGTGCTTAGTAAGTGTAGTTAATTATTTTCCTAGTTAGTAAGTCTACTCTGTCACTGGGCCACTGTGTGACCCTGAGTTTCTTCTTCTGATCTTCAGAGCCTTGCTGCTGAAAACAGGATGAGGCAGCCCTGATCAATTAGGAGGTAAAGACAAGGGCCAAGGCCTGGCTCAGCTAAGATGTACCCGTATCTTCCTCTTTGGAGACAAGAGCTCCATAAGGACAGAGGGTCAGGATAATGGGATGCCTTCCTGGTTTCTGAAGAACGTTTCTGAGTGCAGTTGTGAGTTAAAAAACAAAAACAAAAACAAGGGACCAAGCTCAGTGACTTTTGCCTATAATCCCTGCACATTAGGAGGCAGAGGTGGGAGGATCACTTGAGGCCAGGAGTTCGAAACCAGTCTGGGCAACATAGTGAGGTCCTGTCTCTATTTTTAAAAATAATAATAATACAATACATAACTAAAAACAAAAAATAAAAAAAAAATAAGCCAGGCTTGGTGGCATACACCTGTAGTCCAAGCTAC